GGACAAGGGGAGGCTCTGTGCGGGTGCTGGGGACGCGGTGCTCAGTGGCAGCCGGTGCGGAGGCCGGCGGTGACAGGCTGTGCTCGCACCGTAGGGGGACGGCAAGCGGGCATCATCGTGGGCTCCATCCTGGGCTCGCTCCTGCTCCTGAGCCTCCCCGCGCTGCTCATCTGGGCGCTGATCTGCCGCTACCGTCGGAAGGAATGCCAGCGAGCCTGCAGCGACTGCCGGTGAGCGGGGCACCGGGGGGCAGCAGTGGGGTCTGGGGGGGCAGCACCAGAACTAATGGGTACCGGGGGGGGGGGGGATGTGGGGTGTGCCACTGGATGAGCATCACTGGGGGCTGCCGGGTATCAGTGGGCACTGAGGCGAAACAGGGACCAGTGGGCACCACTGGGTGCTGATGGGCATTACTTGGGTCTATGGGGCTACTGAGTGCTGCTAGGTGCTACTTGGTGCTGCCGGGCATCACTTGGGTCTATGGGGCACCGCTGGGCACTGAGGAGGGCTGCTAGGTGCTACTGGGTGCTGCCGGGCATCACTTGGGTCTATGGGGCATCACTGGGCACTGAGGAGGGCTGCTAGGTGCTACTGGGTGCTGCCGGGCATCACTTGGGTCTATGGGGCATCACTGGGCACTGAGGAGGGCTGCTAGGTGCTACTGGGTGCTGCCGGGCACCACTTGTGTCTATGGGGCACCGCTGGGCACTGAGGAGGGCTGCTAGGTGCTACTGGGTGCTGCCGGGCATCACTTGGGTCTATGGGGCACCGCTGGGCACTGAGGAGGGCTGCTAGGTGCTACTGGGTGCTGCCGGGCACCACTTGTGTCTATGGGGCACCGCTGGGCACTGAGGAAGGCTGCTAGGTGCTACTGGGTGCTGCCGGGCACCAGTTGTGTCTATGGGGCACCGCTGGGCACTGAGGAGGGCTGCTAGGTGCTACTGGGTGCTGCCGGGCACCACTTGTGTCTATGGGGCACCGCTGGGCACTGAGGAGGGCTGCTAGGTGCTACTGGGTGCTGCCGGGCATCACTTGGGTCTATGGGGCACCGCTGGGCACTGAGGAAGGCTGCTAGGTGCTACTGGGTGCTGCCGGGCACCACTTGTGTCTATGGGGCACCGCTGGGCACTGAGGAGGGCTGCTAGGTGCTACTGGGTGCTGCCGGGCATCACTTGTGTCTATGGGGCACCGCTGGGCACTGAGGAGGGCTGCTAGGTGCTACTGGGTGCTGCCGGGCACCACTTGTGTCTATGGGGCACCGCTGGGCACTGAGGAGGGCTGCTAGGTGCTACTGGGTGCTGCCGGGCACCACTTGTGTCTATGGGGCACCGCTGGGCACTGAGGAAGGCTGCTAGGTGCTACTGGGTGCTGCCGGGCATCACTTGTGTCTATGGGGCATCACTGGGCACTGAGGAAGGCTGCTAGGTGCTACTGGGTGCTGCCGGGCACCACAGGCTTTGCTGGGTACCAAGAGGGACCAACAGGCACTGATGGGTGCTGCCGGGCATCACTGTGCTCTATGGAGCATCACCAGGCACCCATGGCCACCTTATGGGTGCCACCACACAACGACAGGGACTCGCCGGGCACCGGTGGCCGTCACCGGGCTCCGGTGGGGACCCCGATGAGCACTGACTCTTCCCCCCCCCCCAACCCCAATCCCAACCCCAACCCCAACCCCACAGGAGCAGCACCGGCGGCACCATGACCCGGCCCTGCAACGTCTGCGCCCACCACAGCTACTCGCCCCACGGCATCAGCTACATGCAGTGCCAGCACGGCGACGGCGACGAGCGGGCGGCCGCCCTCATCTGCAATGAGGGCATCCGGCACCAGGTCACCTGCCCGGCGCTTTAACCCCCCCATCACCATCATCACCATCACCACCATCACCGTCCAGCACCAGCCCCGCACCGATTCGGCTCCGCTGCGGGAGCCGCCGCTCGCCGGGATCCGTGCCGGGACTCGCCGCATAAATTGAAGCCAGGAATCCCGGCCCCCCCCCCCCCCCCCAAACCGGCGCAGCCCCGGTTGGGTTTTATTTAACGTTTTATTGGATGTTTTGCCCCGTTTTTTACGTGCCCCCCTCCCCCCCCCCACCGCATTTTGGTGTCGGGCGGCCCCGAAGCGCCTCGGGAAGAGGGGGGGGGGGGGAAAGGGGGGGGGGGGGAGGGAGGAGGAGTCGCCCGGTCGCCCCGCCCCCCCCCTCCACATTGGCTTTAGCAATTGGGTGTCTCCGGTGAGGAGCCGCCACCGGCACCGGGATTGGCAAAAAGGCACCGGGAAAAGACAAAGCGGAACGAAATTAATCGGGAAAAGAAATAAAGTCAAAGTGAATCCAGAGGCGGCGTGGCCGGAGTGTCCCGGAGTATCCCGGTGTGTCCCGGAGTATCCCGGTGTGTCCCGGTGTGTCCCGGTGTGTCCCGGTGTGTCCCGGAGTATCCCGGTGTGTCCCGGTGTGTCCCGGTGTGTCCCGGAGTATCCCGGTGTGTCCCGGTGTGTCCCGGAGTATCCCGGTGTGTCCCGGTGTGTCCCGGTGTGTCCCGGAGTATCCCGGTGTGTCCTGGTGTGTCCCGGTGTGTCCCGGTGTGTCCCGGAGTATCCCGGTGTGTCCCGGAGTGTCCCGGAGTATCCCGGTGTGTCCCGGTGTGTCCCGGAGTGTCCCGGAGTATCCCGGTGTGTCCCGGTGTGTCCCGGAGTGTCCCGGAGTATCCCGGTGTGTCCCGGAGTGTCCCGGAGTATCCCGGTGTGTCCCGGTGTGTCCCGGTGTGTCCCGGTGTGTCCCGGAGTATCCCGGTGTGTCCCGGTGTGTCCGGTGTGTCCCGGTGTGTCCCGGAGTATCCCGGTGTGTCCCGGTGTGTCCCGGTGTGTCCCGGAGTATCCCGGTGTGTCCTGGTGCATCCCAGTGTATTGGGGAGTCTCCTGGTGTATCCCGGTGTGTCCCAGTGTATCCCAGTGTGTCCAGAGTGTCCTGGTGCATCCCAGTGTATTGGGGAGTGTCCTGGTGTATCCCGGTGTATCCCGGTGTATCCCGGTGTGTCCAGAGTGTCCTGGTGCATCCCAGTGTATCGGGGAGTGTCCTGGTGTGTCCTGGTGTGTCCCGGTGTGTCGGGGAGTGTCCCGGTGTATCCCGGTGTGTCCTGTCCTGGTGTATCCCAGTGTATTGGGGAGTGTCCCAGTGTATCCCAGTGTGTCCCAGTGTGTCCGGAGTGTCCTGGTGTATCCCAGTGTGTCCAGAGTATCCCAGTGTGTCCGGAGTGTCCTGGTGTATCCCAGTGTGTCCAGAGTATCCCAGTGTGTCCGGAGTGTCCTGGTGTATCCCAGTGTGTCCAGAGTGTCCCAGTGTGTCCCGGTGTATCCCGGTGTATCCCAGTGTGTCCCGGTGTGTCCCGGACTGTCGCACATCCCCACCACCTAAAAGGTCCCTTCTGGAAGGTCCTTTGGGTGCCTGTGGGTGCTGCTGGGGGTGGGGGGGGAAACACACAGACCCCAAACCTGACCTTAACCCGTGCACCCCAAACCTGACCCTAACCCTGTCCCCATGGGGGGGGGGGCAGTTCCAGGACAACATCTCCCCCCCAAACAGCCTTAACCCTGACCATAAGCCCAACCTTAGGACCGGCTCAGCCAGAGCCTGACCCTGACCCTAAGCCGATCCTAACCCTGACCCTATGGGGGGCTGCCCCTTGCCACCCCCCCCCCCAAATAGCTTTAAACCCTGACCCTAAACCTGACCCTGACCCTAAGACCCGGGGTTGGCAGAGCCAGAGCCTGACCCAGACCCAGATGCCGCTTGTGGGGGGGACGGATGGACACCGGTAGCGGTAATGGGGGGAGGACACCGGTATCGGTAATGGGGGGGGGACACACCGGTATCGGTAATGGGGGGGACACACCGGTATCGGTAATGGGGGGGGGACACCGGTATCGGTAATGGGGGGGGACACCGGTATCGGTAATGGGGGGGACACACTGGTATCGGTAATGGGGGGGGGACACCGGTATCGGTAATGGGGGGGGGACACCGGTATCGGTAATGGGAAATTCGCGTAATGCGGGGGGGACACACCGGTATCGGTAATGGGGGGGACACACCGGTATCGGTAATGGGGGGGACACACCGGTATCGGTAATGGGGGGGACACACCGGCATCGGTAATGGGGGGACACCGGTATCGGTAATGGGGGGGGGACACTGGTATCGGTAATGGGGACACACACCGGTATCGGTAATGGGGGGGGGACACCGGTATCGGTAATGGGGGGACACACTGGTATCGGTAATGGGGGGGGACACAACCGGTATCGGTAATGGGGGGGACACACCGGTATCGGTAATGGGGGGGACACACCGGCATCGGTAATGGGGGGACACCGGTATCGGTAATGGGGGGGGGACACTGGTATCGGTAATGGGGGACACACTGGTATCGGTAATGGGGGGGGGACACCGGTATCGGTAATGGGGGGGACACACCGGTATCGGTAATGGGGGGGACACACCGGCATCGGTAATGGGGGGACACCGGTATCGGTAATGGGGGGGGGGGACCGGTATCGATAATGGGGGGGGGACACCGGTAGCGGTAATGAGGGGGGGGGACACCGGTATCGGTAATGGGGGGGGGACACCGGTAGCGGTAATGGGGGGGGGGACACCGGTATCGGTAATGGGGGGGGGACACCGGTAGCAGTAACGGGGGGGGCCCCGGTAGCAGTAATGGGGGGGGACACACCGGTATCGATAATGGGGGGGGGGACACAGGTAGCGGTAATGGGGGGGGACACAGGTAGCGGTAATGGGGGGGGGACACAGGTAGCGGTAATGGGGGGGGGGACCGGTATCGATAATGGGGGGGGGACACCGGTAGCAGTAACGGGGGGGGCCCGGTAGCAGTAATGGGGGGGGGGACACCGGTATCGATAATGGGGGGGGGACACAGGTAGCGGTAATGGGGGGGGGGGCGCTGAATCACCCCCCCGGCCGGCAGCGCCCGATGCGTCCGCCAGGGGGCGCGCGAGCCCCGTGCAGCGTCGCCGTTGCCAGGAGACGGAGCGCGGCGGATGATGGCGGCGGGATACGGAGCGGGGCAGGTGAGGATGGGGGGGACGACACCGAAACCGGGGATAACGGGGGACAATGGGGGGCAATGGGGGGTACCGGGGCTCTTGGGGGGTCCCGTCCCGGTGCAGCCGCTGCCCGGCCCCGTTCTCCCGCAGTACGAGGACGCGTTCAGCGCCCATCGCCTGCAGAACTGGAGCGTGCCCCTGCCGGGCCCGAAGGTATCGCCTGGACCCCCCCCCGGCACCGGGACACCACCCCCACCCCCCCCCCGGCACCAGAACGGATCCCCCGGGACTCCCTGGAACCCCCCGCACCCGGTCCTGACACCCCCCAGCTCCAACCTGAACCCCTGGGACCCCCCCCCTCCATCCGGGACCCCCTGAGCCCCCCCCAGCACTGCCCCAGCCCCAACCTGGTGTCCCTGGACCCCCCCTCTGCGCTGCCCCAGACCCCTCCTAAGAACCCCCCCCCCCGGTCCCGGATCAGCCCCTCGGGACCCCCCATCACCAGAATGGGCCCCCTCGAGGCTCCCCAGCCCCATCCTGGACACCCGAGACCCTCCCAGTCCCAGCCTGACCCCCCCCCCCTTTAAGCCCCCAGCTCAGGCCAGGACCCCCCCGAACTGCCCCATCCCCAACCTGGTCCTCTTGGGACCCCCCCCAAGACCCCTCTAGACCCGGCCTGGACTCCCTGGGACCCCTCCTAAACCTAAATCTGCCCCCCCCCCCCAAAACATTCCCCCCATCGTCCCCCCCCCCGTTCCCAGCCCCCCAAGCATTCAGAGGGCTCCACACCCATCATCGCCAACGACCGGGGGCATCTGCTCCCCTCCATACCCCGTTCGCAGGTGAGCCATAAACACCCATGGGGGGCCCACCCCCAGCACCCATGGGGTGCTCCCCTCTGCTCACCACCACCCCCCCCCCCCCGCAGGCCTCCCCATGGGGCTCATTCGTGGGGACGTGGGAGATGCCCTTGAGGATCCCCCTGCGCGCCTGGACCTGACCGCGCGTTCGGCCGCGGCCGCGGAGCGGCTCCTCCAGCGCCTCCATCAGCGCACGGCGCTGAGCAGCGCCCGCAACGGGCTCCGCACCCGCATCACCGGCACGGTGCGGGCCCCGCACACCCCCCCCCCTCCCCTACCCCAACACGGGCACAACCCCGGGGGGGAGCCGCCTCGCCTCTTCCCCTCGGGACGCGGCTCCCTTCAGGCCGAATCCCGCAGGAGGAGCTCATTGCGCCCTCCTCTTCCAGAGGAAACCACTGGGGAATGCGGCCCGCGCTGATGCCGAAGGGATCCCGCAGCGCCCAGCGCCCCCTTCCCACCCCGAGCTTCAATCCCGAGCGGAGGGAACGGCGCTGACACCTCCCTGCGCCCGCAAGAGTGAGGAAGAGGAAGGGGTGGAAGGAGCCGGTGCCGTGGGTTAGCGGCAATTGGGAGAAGAGAGGTTTAAACCAGCGCTAATAAACGCCAGTGCTCGGGATGAGCACTGGGAAAGGCGCTTCCAAGCCAAAGCAACAGCGGGAAGCACGGGGCTGGAAGCCCAAAGACACGGGTTTCCATGCAGGAGGTCGATCCTGCCACAGCACACGGCTTTGGGAAAGGAGCTGGGAGCTGGGATTGCGGCCCCAGAGCACGATCCCATCGAAGCCTGGTGGGATCTGCTCCATTGAGCCGCTGTTGTTCCAGGTGATGCTGGGAAGGGGGAGCAGGGAATCAGGATGAAGCCCCCAGTGGGAAGCAGCCGCTTTGCAAAGCCCATCTGAGCCAGAACTGAAGTCCCTGGACCCCGAGAGGAGGCACAAAGAGCCTGGTCCAGCTCAGCTCCACTGGGAAGCAGCAGCTTCCTGGGAATGCTGTGTCCCAGGGGGAAGTGTGGAGCACAGACACCCAGCTCGGTGGCTCAGGGTGAAGGATCAAAGCTGCTTTATTGCAAAGGTGACACAGGGCAAAGAGCCCAAATGGGAGCTGGTGCCACGGGCAAACTGCATCCTGCATTGCAGACGGAGGGAACCGGGGTGTTCTTCCACCCAGAGCCGTTTGGATGGGGATGTTTGGCAGGATAAGGAGCGGGGATGGACGCCGTGGGGCTGAGCGCCCCATCCAGCCCCCACCACCCATCCCTGCGGCAGGCCCGGCGTTGGCAGCTCCGGCTCTCCCAGGCTGCTCAATGGAGATGCTTGTCCTGAGCCCACTCCTGTGGGACACAGACCTGGCTTTGTCTGCAGCTCAGGACACAGCAGGGCACAGAAACAGCCGGGGGGGGGAAGCAAAAAGCAGCTCTGATCATCCACAAACTGGGAGCTGGGAAGCGACTCCTTCCCCTGGGATAACACCCACCCCACCTGGAGCCTGATACCCCCTCTCCTGCAGTTCCTGAGGGGGTTCAGGATGGAGCAAGGCAGAGGAGGCCTTCACATGGCCGCCAGGCCTGCAGCAGACAGCAGGGTCAGGATGAGCACCAGCACCCCGGACTGGTTCACCTGTGGGATCTTGAAGCCCTTCCCCATGTCCCAGGCCTGCAGGAAAGGAGATAACAGCAGGGTTAACCCAGCTCCCTTTTACCTGGGTACAAAGCCAACCCTCGGAGCAGAACAGTGCAGCTCATCCTGTGCTGTTCCCAGCAGGAACCTGCCAACGGTGTCCAGAGGGAGCAGCAGCTCAGGGAAGAGCTTAAAGCAGCTCCAGTGCCTAAAGGGGCTGCAGGAAACCTGGAGAGGGGCTTGGGACAAGGGATGCAGGGACAGGCCAAGGGGAATGGCTTTAACCTGCCCGAGGGGAGACTGAGCTGAGCTCTGAGGCAGAAGCTCTTCCCTGGGAGGGTGCTGAGGCGCTGGCACAGGGTGCCCAGAGAAGCTGTGGCTGCCCCATCCCTGGCAGTGTTCAAGGCCAGGTTGGAGCATCCTGCTCCTGTGGAAGGGCTCCCTGCCCATGGCTTTAGGTGAGCTTTAAAGCTCCCTTCCCACCCAAACCATTCCTGCCCTCTGCGAACCTCAGCGCTCCGGCTCCTCCATCCACCACAGGAGCTGGGAAGCCCTTGGGAAGTTCACAGCACAAGGGCTGCTCAGCAAGGGGGAGGCGGCAGCATCACCCAGTCCAGCCCCAGCCCAACGCTGCCCTCGGCAGCTTCCACAGCCCCCAAAACAGCCCCGAGGCTCTGAAGCTCTCGACTTGATTAAATTCCCATTCCCAAAGGCACCTTCCCTCGTGCTCCCACTCACAAGGTGCCGGATCCCGTTCCAGGTGTGGTAGGAGAAGGGAAAAGCCAGCGCAAACTTAGCTGAGAAGATGAGAGCAGGGCCCAGGCTGAGCGACTTCACCATGGCCAGGTAGTGCGGGAAGGGCTGCGGCAGCACCAGCGCGGCCAGCCCGAAGAGGGACACCCCTGAGGAGGACAAAGGCCTGGGTTAAGCAGCAGAAGGGTTTGGAACCCCCCCCTTCCCCCCATAGTCCCCAATGAGCCCCCGGGTTTGTGCTTTGGGGACACAGCCTCAATGGGATCAGTGGAAGAGGAGGCCCACGCGGTGGCTGCACCCTGGGGTGCTGAGGACTTTGCATCGCCCCAAATGTGGGTGCTGCTTTCCTCATGCCCCCCCTCAGGGACCAAGCTCCTGCCACGGCAGCCGAAGCAGCCCAAAGGCAAGGGAAAAGGGGCAAGGAAAACCCCCCAGATCCACACTGTGGGACAGAAATCCCTCCACTGCTGGGCTCCAACAGGGATGGAGTGAGGCTGCTTCAGCACAGACCAGCAGCAGCAGCCAAGAGCCAGGGCTGTGCTAACCACAGGAGCCACAACACCTTCCCCTCTTCCTCCTTTTCCTGCTCATCCTCCTCTTTCCTAGGCCAAGGGAGCTTTTCCATATGGTGCAGCTGAAGGAAGGGCAAGGATCAAGCAGCGACTCCCCCTCCAGCACCAGTGGCCTCCTCCTCAGCCACTCTTCCCCTCGGGGGCCTCTATGCTCACCTCCAGCCAGCACAGGAAGCCAAAAGCTCCCTAATGGAGCTTTGATGGAGAGGGAATGGGATCTCCCCCCTTCTCCCACTGCTTCTGCTCCAGCAGAAGCTGATGGATGGAACAGAAAGGCAACAGGGACCTGCCAGCTCCCAGCAAGTTGGATGGGGATGCAGGGGGCAACCGGGAGCCCAATTCCCAAGCCCGGATGGGGATGGGCTGCAGCCCTCTCCCTCTGAACACAATTCCTGCCTATCTTTCCCAATCCCTTCCATCTCAACAGGGAGCTACTGGAGAAGCTCCTTCCTGCTGCCAGGAGAGGACATTAATGGAAATGAAAGAGCCTTTCACAGCCAGGCGTCCCCTCGCTCGGTCAAACCCCACAGAGCAGACTGATGGAGGGGGCTGGATGCTGGTGCCATCGCTGGGATGGGATGAGGAGGTTTGGCTTCCATGTGGATGAGGGCAGACTTAGAGGAGATCCTGGGAAGAAGCTCCTCACCACGAGGTTGTGGGGGGGACGACACTGGAATGGGTTGGCTGCCCCATCCCTGGCAGTGCTCAAGGGCAGGCTTGGAGCAACCAAGTGGAAGGGGTCCCTGCTCGTGGCTTTAAGGTCCCTTCCAACCCAACCCTGGCTGGGATTCGATGACAAAGCAGAGGTTTCCCAGTGGAACACATCCCCACTGGAACGCCGCCGGTGCCAGTGCCGGTGCACGCACCTAAGCTGAGCGCCACGCCGGTGCCGCGGTGCGTGATGGACATCGCCATGGGCAGGGACCACCTGCAAGACAAGCACCTCGTCAGCACCACAGCACCCCCAGGAGAGGCCCCTCTGCTCCCAGGGGTGTCCCTGCACTCGGAGCTATCCCAGGAATCCACCCAGAACAAAAGGGGAATGTGCAGAGGCAGCTGGGGAATGGTAAACGCCGCTGGCACCGGCGGGTGGCTGCTGGGAGAGCTTAAAGGGAGATGGAACCGAAGGCTGGGGCAGTTTGGGAATAAAGGGGCAGGATTTGGGCATGGAAAAGCATTAGAGGTGGCCCCCACCAAGGGGTCACCCCACTGAGGGGGGACCCAGAGCCCCACAGTGGCTGCCCTTACTTGTAAATGCTGACGTGAGGGGACAGGGGACGGTTGGACTTGGTGTTCTTCTCCCAGAAGCGGCTCATCTCCTCCTTGGCCGTCGTTGCCATTGGGACAACGCTGTGGAGAAGAGGAGATGGGAAGTGTGGGGAGAGGGAGCTTGGCTGTGGGAACCTCCCCCACTCCAGCAATCCCAAGGGAGCCACGATATTCCCAAGGGATGCGCTGGGTGCGCGCCAGCACCCTACAGATGGCACCCTCCATCACCCTGCTGACACCCGCCCTGCTCTTCCCTGCCATGGGAACTGGCTGCTGCTCCTGGTGATTCCATGCTCCCGGGATGAGGCTGTAACTGCACTTCCAGCCCCATGTAGCAGGGAAGAACCGTTTCTCCCAAAGTCTGGAAGCACCGAGGGCAAGGATTCTGCAGCTCCCAAACCTGCATGGAGGGGTGAGGGTGCTGCTGCTCCCTCAGCCAGGCTCCCCCTCCAGGCCTTCCCTAACCATGGAATCACTGAGGGGCTGGAGCACACAAGCCCCAAAGGCGTAGATGGGATTCCCTTGGGGAAGAGTTGGGATCCGGAACCCTTGGGACTCACTGTGGCACGGAGAAGCTGGGGCTGAGCCGAGCCAGCAACCGGCGCTGCCCGGCGCATCTGCAAGAGAGGAGAGGGAAAGGTTTGGTGAGTGCCAAAGGAAATCCACCGGGACGAGGCCGGGATTCACCTGGGAAGCGCTGGAGTTTCACCTGGAGTTGCTTGCCTTCAACCCTATCTGATCACCAGCAGGGCTGGGCCGGCCCTTGAGCTCCTCAAGGCTCAGCCCCAAGGGCTGCTTCCTGGCAACAGCCCATAATAACCCCGCTCAGCTCTTACCCCCCGCTTGCGAAGCAGGTGGGAGCAGCACCCCAAGCTCAGCTACATCAAAGCAGCTCCTCTGCCCTCTCCCCACTGCCCACGCAAGGCACGAGCTGGGATCCAGCGCCGGGGAAGGGCTGCAGGGAGCCATGAGGGTGGCCATTCCCTCCTCTTCCTCCCGGTGCCTGGATCCACGGCCGTGCCTCTGCATTGGAGGTGCTGGTGCTGGTGGTGCTGAGCTCGGGGTGGGAGAGCAGAAGTCAAAAGGGATTTTGTGGTGCCCCAAAGGAGTGGGCGCCGCTCCCTGCGGAGGGGGTGAGGAGCCCGGCTTGGACATTCACGGGCATCACTCCAGGAGGATGTGGGCTGGAATCTGCAGAGCCCAGGACAAAACGGAGCCAGCGCCCCACAGGCGCGTGACAGTGACAGCCGTGGAGCTCCCCAGCCCCCTAACACCTGCCCCAGCCCCCTAACACCTGCCCCCAGCCCCCAGCCCCCTAACACCTGCCCCAGCCCCCTAACACCTGCCCCC